AAAAGACAGGGAATTACACAACCTTGCTTGCTGAAAGTGAGGAGGACTTGAAGCACTTGCTGATGAAGATCAAGGATGGCAACCTTCAATATGGATTATGACTCAATGTAAAGAAAACCAAAATCCTCACGACTGGACCAATAGATCAGGTTAAACAGAGAAAAAACTGACGTTATCAACTATTTTGTCTTGGATCCACAATCAATGTGTGTGGAAGCGGCAGTCAAGAAATCACAGGAGAAGGGGCATTGGGTAAATCTGCTGCATCAGGCCTCTTTAAAATGTAGAAAATCCAAGCAAAGATATTACTTTGAAGACTAAGGTGCACCTAATCCAAGCCATGGTATTTTTAAATAGCCTCCTATGCATGTGAAATTTGGACACTGAATAAGAAATATGGAAGGGAAATGAATGCATTTGAATTATGGCGCTGGTGAAGAATATTGCAAGTACCACGGAATGCAAAAGAACAAAACACATGTCTTGGAAGAAGTACACAGGCAGAATGCTTTTTAAAAGTAAGGATAGAGTACTTTGGAGAAGGGCATCATGCTCGGTAGTTGGAGGGGCCAAAAAGGAGACTCTCAAGGTGGATTGACAGAGGCTGCAACAGTGGGCTCAAGGTAAGAGCAGTTGTGAGGATGGAGCAGGGTATCTGTTGTACAAAAGGTTGCTTTGAGTCAGAAGCAAGTCGATGGCTCCTAACAACATCAACAAGCAGTACATGAAGCTTCCCACCACCACTTGCGTTTTTGATTCTAGCCATCCTAGTGGGTGTGAACTGTTACCATAGTGTGGGTTTGGTATACAGTTCCCAGATGATGGGTGATTAGCATTTTTTAGTGTTACTGTTTATCATTTCTACTTTTTTTTTTTGAGAAATGTCTATTCATTTTTAAATAGTTTTATTTGTAGTTTTACTATTGCATTGTAAGAGGGTTATTTTGTTTGTGTGTTTTAAAATTTGGATCCAGGTCACTGATGAGATAAATGATTTGAACAGACCCTTTCATATTCTGCTGATTGACTTTTCACTTTCTTGGTTCGTAGCACAAACGCTTAAAATGTTGATAGAGCCAAATTTAGCAGCTGTTTTATTTTGTTTGCTTGTGCTTTTACTGTTACATGTATGAAATCAATGTCTAGTCTCAAATCATGAAGATTTATGCTTATGTGCTAGTCTAAGTCCTACAGTTCTAGATTTTACATTTAAGGCCTTGATTCATTTTTTTTAGTTAAATTTTGTGTGTGATGTGAGGAACTGACTGTCCATATAAGGTTACTTAAAACTTTAAATCTTTCTTAAGAATAGACTATATATGTAAGACAGTGCGATCCTACCTTTTTGACCCCTCATTTTGTCTACTAATTGCTTTAAGAAGTCAGCTGTCAGGGACACAACACTAGTCTGTCTTCAGTTACTTCATCCCCTGTGGTCTTCATGTAGTGCACACAGCTCAAACGTGTCATGAATTGTGAAATGTGGATCACCAGGACCCCTTTACCTCAGCAGCATCTCATAGCCTCTCATTCTTTTCCAAATGGATAAGTTTCTGTTGTTTTGGATAGATGATGAATGTGACTTTGAGGGACCCCAATGGCATACTTTGAAAACGAAATATTTGTCAGTCTCTGTCAGTTTACGTGGAAAGTTTGTCAATGATCTTGAAAGTTATTTAAAATTTGTGTAATTGTTATAATTTGCTTTTAATTTGCATTTGATATTAAGGAGAAAGATTGTTACAGTTGAAATGGAATGACAGGTTACCGATTTTGCAAACATATCAGTGGGTTTCAAAAGGTTCATGAAAAAAATGGAATTGAAAGGATAATTGAATTTTCCACAAACGTTTTGAAGCCCTGGGTAGATGGAGCTTCTGTAGTGAGTTAGACTCTGTGGTAGTCACTAGAGATGCCACAGTGAAGGAGAGAAACGAGTCCTGGATGTCAAGGAATACGCACTGTAGTTGGCAGACACTATGTGTGATAAATGTGTTGGTGCTAACGAAGCAGGAGTAGCTCTCTTTTAGGATTGCAGTGTGAAATTTCCATAGAAGGTGATGCCTGGGCGAGGTTTCGAAGGACAAAAAGGGATTGGTAAGTACGTGCTGTGCTTCTCTAACTGCATAGCCGAGGCAGAAGACAGCTGTGTTACTTTAATTCACCCTCATTTATAGATGGAGAAATTCAGACGTTGAATTTGATCCTTTCTTTACTCAGGCAGAATAGCATAATTCGGACTATTTCACGGAGCGGTTTTAATCAGGATACTGTGGGCTGTTAACTCATAGCAAGTGCTCAGACTGCTCCGGTACTACAAAATAGAACAAAAAAAGGAACCGATTCTGCCGTTTCCTTTTGATGCGAGGCTAAGAAACTAGACATGCTTGTATCTGTCGTTCCTTACGTAGAGTATTGTCTCAACAAAGTGCTCATCAGATTGTATGATAGTCACACATTATGGTTATTTCCAAAGGATTTTTCACCTAAAACCTTAAGTGATTTTTGTAGGGCAATGTAATGCTAGTATTGACATTATCAAGTAGCCCTGGTGGCACAGTGGCTTACACGTTGGGTTGCTAACAGGGAGGTCAGCAGTTCAAAGCCACTCCTTGGGAGAAAGATGAGGTTTTCGACAAGCTTGGGAACCCACGGGAGTAGTTCTACTCTGTCTTATAGGGTGGCTTTGAGTCACCAAGTATTGACTTGGTGACAATACGTTTTTTGTTTTTAAATTTTAGGTAGTTTACTTTCAAGTTGGACTGTCTTTCATGTTTGTGCTCATGAGAAATTAAATGGATACAGAATTAAACAAATGCATGCTGTCACTAAGGACTGAGTTTGTTCCAGGAACAACTAGCTTGCTGAATCTCTTTGAGATTGACAGTCATGGCTCTAAGAGCTGTGGTGGTGACGTGGGTTACGCACAGGGCTCCTCTGGACTTTCAGAACTGCTAGGTCCTTACAGTTGCTGTGACTCTGAATTGACTTGATGGCAGTGGGTTTGCAGGGGTGGCCATGACTCTTGCCACGGATAGGAATTTTTCAATTAATAAATCATGGTTTATTGATCATTTGTAGTGGTTACTAAGCACCTATTAGAATGATTGATGTATATGAGTTTTACTAAGTCCAGGTTGTTTTAGTCTTGCTGAGATTTTTAATGACTTTTCTTAGATTTTTTTTTAATGATGGAGTATTTACAAACTATTCCTGATAAGTGAAATTTAAGTTTATAGAGCAAATCTGTTTTCCACTCAACAGTGCATGCATATTTTGTTTCATGCCATTGATGGCAACTCCACAAGGTAATAGCACTCACCCCACTTTTTCCCTCTACATGTCCCTTTGCCAGTGCTGCCCTTTTGATCTCAAATGGCTGATTGTTTTAAGGAGTGGCCCTCCCTGGTGCTGTTGTTTACTTTATGGGCCTGACAGGCTTCAAGTTGAGTCACAGGGTGAGTTCAGTTCCAGGCTTGAAGGGTGACTAAGGGTCACAGACTGTATTTGACCAGTGAACCTGGTCTTTTATATGGTTTTGAGTTTTCTTCCACATTTACCCACCCACTCTGTCCAGGACCTTCTGATCCAATCCCATCATGGAGGCTGAGGTCTGCATGCCTCATTAGCAAGAGAAAAAATGGAAATGAAATATAGAGCTAAATTACACAGTGATGAGTAGCGGAATCAAGAAGTATGTTGGGGTTCAGTTTGTGTTATTAAGGATCGCTATATGTTCATAGTTAGCTTACATCTTTCTGGTGGTGCTATTTGGTAGTTAATGAACTGCAGGTTGGTGGTTCAAATGCACCAGCTGCTCCTTGGAAGATCAATGAGTCTATCCATTCCTGTAAAGATGTATGGGCTCTAAAACCCTATAGGGTCGCCATGAGTTAAAATAGACTCAATGGTAGTGGGGTTCTTTCTCAACACATTTTACTTACTTTGGAAATAACCTGTCTTTAAATAGTTTTATATATATAACTATATATATATAACTATATATAATAACTATATATATAAACTGTTGTAACTATATAGTGAATAGAACAGTTGCCAATTCAACATTTTCCCCATGTTCAGTTCAATGAGATCATTGACAGCAGTCGTTTTCAACCTTCATAATGCTGCGACCCTTTAATACAGTTCCTCATGTTGTAGTGACCCCCAACCATAAAATTATTTTCGTTGCTACTTCATAACTGTCATTTTGCTACTGTTATGAATCGGGGAACCCCTGTGAAAGGGTCTTTCGCCCCTCAAAGGGGTCACGACCACAGGTTGAGAACTACTATTTTACGGTGATCATGTCACCAGTGTTGTTGTGTGCTCTTGAGTCACTTCTAAGTCATGACCAGGTAAGACAGAGGGTGACGCCCTTAGGGGTGGCAAGGCTATCTCTTCTGTGGAGCATGGATGGGTTCATTCACATAGCCGACCTTTTGGTTAGCAGCCAAGCTCTTAATGAACCATTGCATCACTGAGGCTCCCTGTCTTCACCAAGTTTTTACGTGGAGTTTTGATGTCGATTTTGTGGTGGGCGGGGAACCCCTCGTACTGTTCCTTTTCCATTTTTCTTTGCGCTGAAGTCTTTCTGAGTAGCTGCAGGATGTTATGTAAACTCTGGTACCACAAAGCCGTTCCTCACCAATTAGAATAGCATTGGCAAGTTACAACACTTTCATTGCCATGATAAAACTGCTCCGTGTTAGGGTTTCTGAGACCCAAACTTTGTTATGAGAGTAGAAAGCCATTGCTTTCTCCTATGGAATGGCTGGTCATTTCGAACTGTAGACCCGTGGTTAGCAGCTCAACATGTAACCACTGTGCCACCAGGGTCGTATCTAATTCACGACAAGTTAGTGATAGTCCAGAAACCCACTTTTGAGTGGTGCAAATGAGGAAGCACTAGTGGTTGGCAGTTTGGACACCCACCACCTCTGCAGACAGGCTTGGGGACCTGCATACAAAAGGCACACCCTTTGTACTCACGGGTCACCATGGTTGACTTGACTTGGCTCAAGGACAAGCTGAAGGTAACAATGGTGCTGTGCCTGGAATCTCAGGCAGGTGGAAAAGAGTGCGGCTCTCAGGAAGATGGGAAGTTTGAGTCCTCTACAGGTGCCTTGGAAGAAAGACAGGAATTGTTTGTTGGACACATTTTCTCACTTCTACAGTAGTGATACCACAAGAGATGAAATCCCTCTTTACCTCATTGGAATTTGCTTTGTGGCAGCCATCGAGAAACATCTGGTTGAGAAATACCGGATTTAATGCATCAGCTGAAATACAGTGAAAGGGCACAACTCTAAGATTTTCTTTCACCATGAATTGAAGCTTTTATTTAACTTATATCTGCTTAGTTTTTATTTAGGTAAGTATAAATGTAGGATTTCTTTTTACTTATTTTTCTATCTGTGACTAAACAGTTGTTTCATAATCCTAATGGAAAATTGAGACTATTAAGTGCCGTTTCTAATGCGGGAGTGAAATAGTCTTGGCTTAACTACATGAATAAAGATGTAACTGTGTGATGTCTGTGTACAGACAAACCACATAGAATATTTAAATTCTATAAAGAATGCCTTTCCTCACTACCTGAAAGTTCATAAAATACATGTATTATATCCTTTTGGAGTCAGCAAAATAGAGCTACCTCACAGTCAACCTCGTTAGAAATGGTCTTAAAGGCTTGAAGGTAATCAAGCGGCCCTCAAGCTCAGAAGCAACAAAGCCCACATGGAAGAAGCACACCAGCCTTTGCAACCACGAGGTGTCGAAGGGATCAGGTGTAAGGCATCATCAGAACAAAAAATCTTACCATAGTGAATGATGGGGGGAGTGCGGAGTGGAGATCCAAAGCCCATTAGTAGGCCACTGGAGATCCCCTTGCAGTGGGGTCTCGGGGAGGAGATGAGCCAGTCAGGGTGTGATGTAACAACGATGAAAAATACAACTTTCCTCTAATTCCTAAATGTTTCCTCCCCGCTCCCACTACCATGACTCGAATTCGACCTTGCAAGTCTGGCTAGACCAGAGGAGGTACAAGATTAGCTTTTCAATTTTAGAAGATAACTTGGATGATTAAGCTGAAGAAATTACAATATAGAATAGAGCAGTGGTGCCCATACTCCATACTAGCAACATCACCTGGAAACTAGTTACGAATACAAATTCTTAGGCTGTACTCCAGCCTGCTACTGCATCAGAAAGTTGGGGGCGGGGGAGGGGGCTGAGGGTAGGGTGGTGTCAGCAGTGTGTGTTTTAAGAAGTCTCTATTCCCTGATGGTGTATGCTAAAGTTTTAGACCAAAGGACTAGTGATAGGAAGGCCAGATAAACTAGATCGTAGTTTGTAAAATGATTTGCACATCAATATAAGGTTGATTTTGTTCATTGTATTTTTTTAGTCACAATCAAGAGTAATAGAGTAAGTATCCAGGATTTTTGTTATTTATAGGACAACCTAATACTAAGAGACTTAAGGCCAGAATAATGTGGTGATTAGTATATTGTCTTTGGAAAGAAGGAGACTGTCCAGAATCACGAGGAAAAATGAAACTACAGTCAAGTGGATTTTCTTGAATAGAATAATACTGCTACTAAAGTAAGCCACTTGATTTTTGAATGCTACAGTTGTTGGCTGCAAATGACATTGATTTGTAATGTGGCATTTAAATCTGCAGCAGGGAAAACGGACCGAATGTACTCTACAAAGTGGAAACAGGAACTCTGTGAGGAGCCCAGACGGAAGGGTGGTGGGCTTGCCCAAGATCTGCCAAGATGCTGTTGTGCAGTCAGTTGCACACAGCTATCCAGACGTGGTCCACTTGCAGTCTGTAATTGACAGCTAGCAGCTGATTGGCATCTAACCTAGTTTTACTTTGTGGATGTGTGGGTTGTGCCCTCACATTTCAGCTTTGCTGGAAGTGGGCTGAGTAACTCTGCTGATGATCGCCCTCCCTTACTCGCCTCTAGCTTCCCCAGGGACAACGAAAAGTCAAGGTCAAGCAACTGCTGCATACATATCAAAAGTAATCCTTTGTTCTCCTTTGATTTTTATTCCAGGACCCGTCAGTTACACAAGTGACAAGAAATGTTCCACCTGGACTTGATGAATACAATCCATTCTCGGATTCTAGAACAGTAAGACTACTGTACTTAATTAGGTTAATTTGAAATGTTTACGCTGAATTAAATAAGACTTGGATGGTATATAGTGCTGCGGTTCTCAACCTGTGGGTCAAACGACCCTTTCACAGGGGTCGCCCGATTCATAACAGTAGCAAAATGAGTTAGGAAATAGCAACGAAAATAATTTTATGGTTGGGGATCACCACGAGGAACTGTATTAAAGGGTTGCGGCATTAGGAAGGTTGAGAACCACTGGTGTAGTGGTTAAGCATTGGGCTGTGGTCTGAATGGTTGGCAGTGTGAAACCACCAGCAGCTCCAGGGGTGAAGGACTGAGCTTTTTACTCCCGTAAATAGTTAGCAGTCCAAGAATCCCACAGGGGTCACTGTGAGTCATCATGGACTCAGTGGCAGGGAGAGTTTTTTTGTTTTTTTTTAATTTCAGTTATATCTTTGGCTGATTAAACTTATATAAAATGTATCTGGATAAAATGGTGCTTTTATTTAGAATTTAGCATAGTAAGTATTTTTTGTTTTGTTTTGTTTTTTAATCAAGAAGGACTAACATCAGTGTCATGGGAAATGACCATGAAGGTCCCAATTGAGATGCTGAAGCCTAGCTGCTAAGTGTCCACTGAGTGTATGAATTACAGGGTGAACCATGTGAAGTAGCCAACATGCTGGCTATTTTTCACCTACAAAAACAGCAGTTCGATGTAGTTCAGGTTTAAAGAAACTTTGCAATATGACCATGTGAGATTGCAGTTTGATAGTACTTGTTAAAAGGAGGAAAAGAAGAATTGGTATATTTTATTTCATTATATGGTTCTTCAATGATTTCTGGGTGGTAGAGATGGGAATGAGACTGTTTAAGAGGCTTGCTTCTGCTGTAGGCGAAGAGAGGCATGTTTGTGTGTGTACACATATATAATCCTTTTAAAAAAAAGTTTACCAGCTAGAAATGTGTTTATTCTTTTTACAGTAGCACCTTTAGATAGTTAGTAATGGTCATTGTAGTATCTCTTTATCAAGTTATCTACATTGTGTCATGTGCTTTACTCATTTTTATCTTATTGAATACTCACAACAGCCTTCAAAATAAGGACTTACACTTACCTTCTACTGGTAATGCATCAGACTGTCATGCAGAACTGGCTCCTCACCTGTACAACTTTTGCCTTTTCTATTTTCCTAGTGCTGTCCTTAGTGATAGATGATTAAGAAATAGAAGATACAGTCCTGGTTTTTGTTTTTCAAAAAAATGTGTCACCTAATTGTGATTTTAAGCTTTACACAGACACATAGGAGATATATTGCAGACAAATAAACATACATTGCAGACAATAAAACATTAGAATATGAATTGTGGTCCCAAATGCTAACACTTTTATAGTCAGAGCAAGGTTTTTATTTATGTAATTTTATTTATTTTTGTGTGTGTGAATACACAGCAAAACATACACCCAGATTCAGTTTTTGCACGTGTCATTGAGTGACACTGGTTAGATTCTATGTAATCATCCTCTGGTGTAACTGCCCTCACCCTCCTTTTCTGAGTCGTTTCTTTCTGTTAACATTAACTCCCTGCTCCCTGGTGGGGTAGTGGTTATGCATTGGTCTGCAATCCTGGAGGTTAGCAGTTTAAGTCCATCAGTTGCTTACCTGGGGAAAGAAGAGGCTTTCTCCTCCCTTAGAGTTGCAGTCTTGGAAATCCCCGGGATAGTATTACTCAGCACTGTAAGGTGTCATGTGGGCGCGTTTTTTTTTTTTTTTTTTTCTTTTTTTTTTTTTTACGGTCCCTGTCTCTAGAGTTGCTATTGTCAGCTTGCCCCTACATAAACCCAAACTCACTGCCATTGAGTTTATTGCAGCTCATGCTGATAGTTAATGTCCTTAAAAGGAAACCATGCTTAAGGGCAGACTTTTTATTAATTTTTAACTTATTACATAAGCTACATTATTGTTGGCTTTAAGATGTGTTCAGGGAGATACTTTTGCGTAAGATTTAAAGATTAATTCAGGTCAGTGGTTCAGGGGTGTAGTTCACCTTCATGGCTCTAGAAATTGTAAAGTTTACGAGAACTTACAATTGTGTTCTGAATTTCTCCACTTTGGTTCAGTGTTAATCTTTTTTTTTTCCCCTCTCTCATTTTATTGGGGGCTCTTATTATAATTCGTACATCCATCCATTGTGTCAAGCACATCTGTACAAATGATGCCATCATCATTTTCAAAGCATTTTCTCTCTACTTGAGCCCTTGATATCAGCTCATTTTCCCCCTTACTCCTCCTCTCTCTCATGAACCCTTAATAAATTATAAATTATTATTTTCATATCTTACATCATCCATTGTTTCCCTTCACCCATTTTTCTGTTGTTCATCCCCCTCGGGATGGTGGCGGATATATGTCGATCATTGTGATCTGTTCTCCCTTTCTCCCCACACCTTCCTCTTTTCTCCTGGTATCTCTATTCTCATTATTGGTCCTGAGGGGTTTATCTGTCCTGGATTCCCTGTGTTGTGAGCTCGTATCTGTAGCAGTGTACATGCTCTGGTCTAGTCAGGTTTGTAAGGTAGAATTGAGGTCATGATAGTGGGTGGGGGGGAGAGAAGGTTTAAAGAACTAGAGAAAAAAGTTGTATGTTTCATCTGTGCTATACTGCACCATGAATGGCTCATCTCGTTCTTGTGACCCTTCTGTAAGGGGATGTCCAATTGTCTATAGATGGGCTTTGGGTCTCTACTCCGTGCACCCCCCCCTCATTCACATTGATAAGATTTTTTGCTCTGGGTCTTTGATGCCTGATACCTGGTGTGATGGACACCTCGTGATCACACAGGCTGATGTGCTTCTTCCATGTGGGCTTTATTGCTTCTTAGCTAGATGGCCGCTTGTTTATCT